CGTGTGTGTGTGTGTGTGTGTGTTATTGTTGTTGTTATTGGCGGGCTGAAAGGGGTTTAGCGGGCTTACCTTTAACAGTTCCTTCTCAATTTCGCCGGCGCGTATGACGATCGGGCCACGTACCGCATACTCCATGGACACATAGTTGGCATTAATATTATTCAGTTGCAAGATGTTCATGTCGGAGGCTTGGGCTTTGGTGGACATGCAGCTGCAAAAAGTGTGTGTTAACAGAAAAGGAAATCAAAAATTTAATACGCGCTGTTCAAGTTCACAGACCAACTCAATTAAATGTTAATGTTAAATGCAAATTAGTTTTGGTTTTGTTTTGATGCCACAAGAAACACAATAACATTAAAATCGCAAACACAAAACACGAAACGAAGCAAAATAAAATAAAAAAAAAATGTATATGATGAGGCTACTAACCGAGCAGGAGCGTCAAACGGTGAATGGCTACCACGCGCGTTCAATGCTTCAGCTTGACTGCGACGTCGCGTCGCTGTCGTCGTGACTGTAGCCGTCGTCCGTAGCTTTTGAGCGCTGTTATTGTTATGTAGAAGCGATTTCCAGCGCCGAACGACAACACTTGCCGTCAGTTTACATTGTTGCTGCAGCTGGCTGCTGTTACGCTCCAGATGCGACGGCAGGCCAGCTGCTCCTCTGGCTGACGTCGCAACCACATTGGCTGCACGCTGCATCGCTGACGGATTCCTTAACAATTGACGACTCATCTTTAACAGTTAATTTGGTATCCCTATTTAATATTTCGCTAACGCGCTGTTGTTGCAAGCACACTGCCAACGAGAAAGAGAGAGAGAGAGAGAGAGAGAGCAGAGAGAGAGAAATAAAAAACGGTATAAATAAATGTCCAGTGCAAAAATCGACGCGGCAGCAGCAGCACCACCAACACAAATACATATGTACATACACACGCCTGACTTAAATGCGTATAAGAGCTTGCGCTTAAGCTTGATTTATAAGAGTTGAAGAAGCAAACCAGCCGGATTGGTATTGCTATCGACCTTGCCATTGGTGTGAGATATTTTTTTTGTTTTATTTTTTTTTTTGGGTTATTGGGGGCCTGTTATCATACACACACGATAAGAAAATAATTGTATAGCCTGCGCCATCGACACACACACATATTAACATATTTACAATCAAGCGTAGCGGCTGCTATTCAATTATATAAATAACAATTAACCGGTTTTTCAGCTCGTATGTTTGTGTTGCTAAGACGCAATTGCTTGGTTAATGCTAATTATAAATTGAATTTGTGTGCCATGATGGCAAATCCTTTTGAGCTTTGTAACGGATAAAGTCGAATGAAGGCATTTTGCTTATGATAGAGCATGGTCACACTGTTATTCATTTGGCATGCTCGCCGCTTGACCAATTTCGATAGTATCGATAAATGCGATCACCAATAGTTATTTGAAAAACATTTTTTTTGTCATTTTCTTAAACAAATTTAAGAAATAATTTGACAGTCTGCCTCTGTCTCTGTCTGTTTAAATAACACCTGTTGTTGCCTTATCGTGTTGTTTGCTATTTTCTTTCAGATGCTCAAAGACTTATGAGAGTAGCCTTTTTGTTGGGGCCATTTAGATAGGAAACGGATTATGTACATACATATGTATGTATATGATTTGAGGGGCTTATGTGCTATCAAAATTCGTGTACTTTTGACTTTCAACCCGCCAGACTAAAGTCGCTTATCAGTGACGTCCCAGCCTCAACGGCAGATCTCGGCTTATGCTATAGATTCAATATATACCATGCATATATACTCTCTATATACATATATATGTATGTATGTATGTATATACTTAGATGTAGAACAAGGTATTGTTGGCAATAAGTGTGTACTTTGGAATCGCAATTGCGCAATAGAACGGTTCTATGAAACGAAAGTGTTTGCCAAAATTCATACACAGAATACTGAAATACATGACAATAAGCGGTATAAATGATATTCAGTATATATACATAAATATTTGTTACACAAAACAAAATAAAAGAGCTTAAAAGCAAAAACTATTTGGGAATTAAAAGCAACAGAAATACTTTGAATACGTTAAAATAATTCAAGTTCTCAATGAGCTTAATTATAATTTCAGATTTAAGTTCTTTACTTTTACCTGAACGTTTACTTAAACGAAACAAGAAAGGAAAGAACCAGCTAACAGTTTAGTTTTAAGCAGCTGTGGAGCTTTAAGCTTTCAAAAAGTTTCATTTTGTTGCAGGCTTTAATTGTTATATGTTTTACACACACTTTTTATTAGTTCAATAAATAATGCATTTTGTGTGCTTTAAGCTTGCATGTGCTTTTAAAGCTCTACTTTTTATGGTAATTAACGTAAAGAAAGACGTAAAGAAAGAGTAAGCTTTGAGTCGTTGGCTTAGGCAGTTTCTGATTTCAAAACACGTCATATTGTATATAAATAGAAAGGGCTTTAAAGCACATTAAATCAGAAAGCTTTAAGCTTTAAAAATTGAAATTGAAACGTTGATTAAAGCTTTAATATATGTTTACATCTATGAAGGTAGCAACAGTTTTGTTGATTTCAAGTATCTCTTTTTAAAAGCTCAGTGTAATTATATTTACTTGGGATTATATTGGATTTGTTTTACGAGTTGCTATCTTTTTTTCTAGTAAAATGGTTAACTAAGGGTGGAAAAAAATAAAGCTTTTGCTATTTGCACTAACATTTGATTACAACTAATGGCTATAAGAAAGTATATGTTCGAGAACTTGTGAGTGCTTAGAGTCAGAAATTTCAGACGGGTTTTATTTAAAAGACACAACTGAAAAATTTGGTGCCTTTTAGATTGAAATTTCTCACAGTGTATCTATGCACTACCTATGCATATATGAAATGTTAGCCCGGCAAATACATGTGTGTGCGTGCGTGTGTGTGTGTGTTTGTATCAAAATAAACTACAACAACAAGAAATAATCAATATGCTGATATCAAAGTTTCAGTTAGCGCCTACGTCCAGGTGCTAAAGGGAGCGTCAATAAAGCGATAATAGATTTATATGCTAGCACACGTGTATATTGAGCTGTATACGCTGTAATTAATAAAATATTTAATTTAATCCATGTTTGTTGAATGTGCTGATTGGACTGTTGACAACAGGTTATGCAATGGGCGCTGCGGCAATTGCATTATTCTAATAAGACTGCGCTATGCGAAAGGCGTGCGCATCCGATAAGATAAAAGTGAAATTAATTTTTAAAAAAAGCAACATAAACAAATCAAATCGCAGCGCTGCCGTAAAAGACAAAGGACAAATTAATTGCACAAATTAATATTTAGCTGGGAAAACAAAGTTCGCTCCAATTCCCTGCTGACACATCAGCAAATCTAATTGGAATTGTTGCTTTAGTTGTTTGTGCCGTTATTTAGCTGCTCGGCTGATTGGGAAAATTGGTGCGAATTGCGGTGTTTTGCACGCAATTCAATTGACGACGACACGCAAAACGGTAAACAAAATCAGAAGCGACAATTTATGACTATTTAACGCACATTATATTTACGATAGCCGCTCGCACTTAACCTCAAGCGGGTTTTTTTTTCTCCTCTTCTAGCTCTTATTTTGGGGGATGGCGGAGCCAATTGCTCTCGCGTAAGTGTCTGCGTGCGTGTGTGTGTGTGTGTGTGCGTGTGCACATATGTGTATATAGTTCAAGAACAGGCCGCACAGTGTGTCCACTTAGCATAAAATCGATTTTTGCATTTTGCAATTTGTTTTGGGCTCAAATTCTACGCACCTGGTCAATTAAAAGCTGTCACGACCGGCTGTCGGCTAAGCGGGCAGGGGACGTTGCTCGATTATCTAACGTGGTAGCAACTGCGGCTGCTGCTGCGTCTGCTGCTGCTGCTGTGTGTGGATGTCAACTGGCGCTGATGTTCAATCCGTTTGTTTGTTGTGATTTTTGCGTTCGGTCCGAGCGAGCAATCAAATTGATTACATACACACATGTATGTGCGTGTGTGTGGGTGTTTGTGTACATATATGCACACATGCAAACGAAAAAGATTATTAATAAACCAATCTGCGCATATTTATTCATATACATACCCTATACACAAAAAATTTCGTAAATAAATTCGCCAAGGTGTTTGTCGCGTAAGTAGCAGTAACTGTCTGTGTGTGTGTGTGTGACGCTTAGCTTTGGCAAACAAAATAGCGCCAGTGTGCTCCAATGTTTTGAATTTGAATGCAACTATGGGGAATTGTGTGATCAGCTGTTTGACAGCAGCAGCGACAACATATCGATAACAAGCGCTACCAGACATCAGCTGTCAGAGTCATTTGCGACAGTGCTGTTTAACAGTGGCCATTTGTTGTTTATCAACACTCCAGACTTATCGATAGGTTGGCGTTTGGCCTGTGCCTTTCACACTCCGCTCATCAATAGTTAATTGCGCACATCTCGAATGCTAGCATTTGTTGTTGTTTAGCCGGAGTTCGAACGTGTATTTGTTTAAATGCGGATGTGGAGCGACAAAAAACCAAAACGAAATTTTTTTTATCAAGTCTAGCATATTAATAAAACTAACTGTTGTTAATTGTTCATCAGTTGTATTGTACAAGAGCTCACTCGAGTGACTCTTCCACTTGGCCAGTTCCGTTGTGCGTTGAAAACAAATATATATTTATTAAAAAAATAAAAATCAAATCAGACATAACAACCAAGTGCATTTGCTGGCCAAAGGCGATGCATAGTATTTAATGCCTATGTAAATAATAGTGCAACGCCAGGTCTGCAAAAGTTTTAATTTCCGACTAACACGCGCACACAAACACAAACACACACGTATACACTGCGATAGAGTTACTCACTGGAGGCAGGGCTGTTGGGCGAGCGAAAGCACAGGGCTGTCACGCAGGATAAATAACAAAAAGGCAACAACAAACGCATTTCTTTTTGTCTGTTTTTTTTTTTTTTTGGTTTTTGTTGTTTTTGCCCACGTGAGTGCGAGCGAGTGCGTTTGTGCGTGCGTGCGTGTGTGTGTGTGCGAAAGAGTGCAAATACTTTCGCAAAAAAATGGCTCCGGCTCTGAGCAAATTAGCGCAAAACCAGAGCGCCATCGTCGGCGCGGCTGGCATGACGGCAGCTCTATGGATAATCGCATATGGCAAACTATCCAATAACAAGAGGTGAGTACCCCCAGAACAGCTCCCATACATATTGGGCAAGGTCTTGGCTGCATTACGAAGGTGCCTGACATTGAAAATTTCGAATTTGATGTTTTTCTTATGCGCAGCCAGTGCTGCGAGAATCTGAAGCGCAAAAAAGCTAAATCAACAAAATAAGAAAAAAAAAATGCTAAAAATAGCCTAAATAACAAATGTGAAAGCGTGTTTGCTTTGATGTTATGTGATGTTCAATATAGAAAAAACTTGGTTAATACTACATTACATTATTTATATTTATCGCACTGTAAATCAGGTGTGAATAAGCTTATATGACTTAAATAAGCTATGCTTCAAATAGAACGCAATGTCCTAACTTTACTATTAATTTCGTTATATATTTTAAATAAACCGTTGTCAGGCTACAAGCATTTTGACTTTTAGCTAGAAAATGGCCAACATGGCAACACTGGTCTCATGTGAAGCGCATTGGCTTGTATTGCTGTATGTGTGTGCGTGCGTGTGTGTGAATGTGGATCGTACGATGCGTCGCTTGTGCATAGCGGACGGCTCCTAACTGGTTTTGTTTTTTTTTTTTTTGCCCCATTTTGCAGCACTTCCGTCCAAGGACGACAACAGCCGCAACAACCGTAATATCGAGAGTTATTGCTCCCCAGCTGATCGAGTGCTCGCAATTGGCGTTCCCTTTTGTGTTTGTCTTCTTCTCTTTCATGCTGCTCTGTCGATATGCAGCAGTGTTTTTTTTTTTTTTCGTATCACATTAATTTCAAAAGGGGTCGTCCATTTAATGTGACCAGCCTGTTTAATGGTTGTAATACCCTGTAGCCATATAAAATAGCTCTTATTCCATGACGTGTTTGTGCATATATATAAATATATTTATGTATAGATATTCCTGATCTGGCCAAATGTAGCTATGGATCTATATCTATTAGATCTATTCGTCCGTAGAGGAGTTAGAGACATCTCAATGAAACTTGACCCCCCCCCTCCCCCTCCCCCTGGACAGTTCATCTTTAGCTTTCCAAAATGATCGGTTCTTACGGGGTTTTGCTTTTGTGTTAGGTCGAAACACTTAATTCCTATGTACCTTAATTGCTAGCCCTGTTCGTACTATGCCCCTCGTTACACGTAATTCGATACTCGTGCCAGTCGGTAAAAGCTCTCATCCATACCCATACAGCTGCTAATAATCCACTCTATTTGGATTTCACGTGCCGACAAGTGAAAAGGTCGGTTTTTTTTTTTTGTATTCTTTTTGTTTTTCTTCCCTTTTTTCTTTTTGACAATTGCACTTGTTAGTGCCATAAAGCCGATATCTAATCTGCGGTTGCCAAAACTCGAAACTCACCCGTCTGAGTGGCTGTTGTTAAATGTTTTAACGTTTAACTCGAACACGTTGTCCCTAAAATGTTGTTATCTAGCTGCGATTGTACACATGCATGTACATATAAACACATACATACATACATATATCTATTTACATAGATATGTATATGTATGTGCATAGATATAACTACGTGTATATATAGCATTTGGTCTAATTAATTGAAATTGTGATCAAATTTTGTTTGCACGACGTTCACAATTAGACTAAGTAGTTGCTTTGTTGGGGCATTGGAATTAATATTTGTATAGACTACATTTCACTCGTGGCCAGGTCAAATACATACATACATATATGTATGTACATATATCAACGATATGTGATAGGGATGTTTGTATATACTATGCATTGGCTAAATTATATTCCATTTACTTAATGACACTCTTCTCTCTTTGGCCATAAAATTTGCAATAACAATGGATTGTAATATCTGGGTTCTTATCTAAACGTATCGTTTAGTCATAACACAGGCAAAAAGACAATTTCTTTATGAATGTTTTTCGTATGAAAGTCGGTCAAAATTATAGTTACCAGGAATTGTCAGGCAAATAGTTACATATTTAACAAATTAATTGATAGATTTCAAATCGTTTGAGTATACTTTTACTTTTGGTATAAAATCAAGAGAATACAGAGAACACATTCAGTGTAACTAAACTGAGTGTTATAAACTGTTTGATTTTTGTTCGCTGTAGTCGATATCGATAGCTTTTTACACTAGTAATAAACTCATTTAATTCAAGTCGATTCGGTTTGATAGCACTTACTGTTAATTAAAAATGTCAACCTGTTGCCAAATCGGGTTACTTTGCTGTCTATTCCCCTTTCACGCCCTTCGCTTAATACATTTGCACATCGATTTGCATTGTCAATTTCGTCTACTCGTCTGGTAGCGGGAGGTGATAAAAGGCCTTTTATGCAAATCGGTGTTGCAAAGTGCAACAACTTTGACATGAGGCATCGTCTACGGCGGCAGCGGCAGCGGCGGCGGCGGCGGCTGAAGCGAAAATGCAATCGAAATGAATATAAACAGACACACACACATATGTATATATGTGCATGCAAACAGTTCACAAACACTTGCCGGCATTGCTTTGTTTACATTTCCCAATTTGCATGCGAGTGTGTGTGTGTGTGTGTGTGTGTGCATCTCTTGCGCTGTTGCAGTGGCTGATTGATACATAAGTTTGTTAGTATGTGCGTATGTGTGTAACATAATAAACAACAACAAATGCACTTGCATAGCCGAAAAGACTGTTAAAGAGTTGCCAGACATACATATGTACATGAAATTCCAATCTCGTAAGTTCATTCGATTTGGTTTGCACACAAGAGTTGCCACTGCAATCGAATTGTAACAAATCTGAACTTGATATCAAGTAAATAAAGAGAAAGTAGCAAATCAATGTGTACATATTTTGTTTCGTTTATTGAAATTGTTTGCTTATAAGAATCAAGTTAACATAAATATGCATTTATATTTCGGAATATGAATGTACGCACATACATACGTATGTGTTGTTGTTTTTTTTTATGGTGGGTTTTCGTTTTATATTGTTGCCGGGCACATTCGTCTGTTCCGCCTTTGGATTTCACACACTCGCCAGAATGAATGTTAATTTTTGTTTATCTTTGCCTGGTATTCTACAGGTACATAACATTTTTTGCGTCGCCGGTTGTTGCGCAATGTTTCAGCGTATTAAAAATACATACATACATACACATATAAATGTTAACTATATTGCGGCAATTGCAAACGGTAAAAGAAAACAAAAACAAAAACGCTCGTTCATGGCAAACATACAAATTGTATACCAACACATCTACATACATATCGATGCGTATAAGAGTTATGACGCGCAACTGCAGCATTAATTGACAGATTCGCGTTTAACAGTAATTGTTGCTGTTAAACTGCATTGTTTGTTATTGTATGTGTGTTTGTGCATGTGGAACTGTTGCTGCCCCGAATATATGCATTTAAATTTGCGTAATTCAAAGCGCTTGACACATGCACCTGCTGGCACAGTCAATTTTGAAATTAACGTTAAATTGGCTTGGGCGTGAAATGAACAGCACATTTGAATGAATTAAATATATATGCAACCCGTACACACACACACACACACACAGACACACATTCAAACGACTTGCATAGTGCAAGTAGAAAAAAGTAGCAGCAGCCGCAGTCAGCGCTTGCTTTAAGATTTTATCAAGTGGCATCTTTCATCTGACTAAATACATACATACATTTTTATATTTATATATGCACATGTATATTGATGAGACACTCGAAATGATATTGAACTTTGCACCCACGGCAAAAGTTGCCGTTACGAATCTGTTCATTTTTCACACATGCATGCATATATGAATATATATATGTATATGTATGTATGTGTTAACTTGTCTGTCTTGTTGCTGGCTAAACAACGCGGCGATGATAATAAAATACCGGCAGCAATACATATGCACATTTTGTGTATACATGTGTGTCTCTGTGACTCTGACGTCGTCGTCTATTTCTCTTTAGCCCTGTCTGTTTTGTTGTTGTGTTTGTTAATCAACAAATTTGCTTGGCCAAACTTCAAGAGGCGAAATAGACGAAAACCGAAAACCGAAAAAGCGATCGTCGCATTTGCCCCTATGGACATGCACACACACACACACGCACACGCACGCACCTATGCAAATGTGTGTATACATATATTTTAACTATGCAACACTGTTTTTTTTCTCTCTCTCTCTCTCTTCCTATTGGTTAATGCTGACCAAATTAACATATAAATTTTACTCTGCTCTTAATTGCCAAGCGCATAACAAATTGCTGCTGCCGCGCTTGCAAGGCCCTTTGCCCTATGCTGGATTCCATGTGCGCCGCCGGCTGCTTAAGTCGATTAATCACCGCGATTAGCAACAGGAAAAGCAGCTGATAGCAAAAGCGAAAATTTCCAATCAGACCAAAGTATCGATTAGAGATGGACGCAATCGCAGCTGTCCGTTCCCAATCAGAGCACGATAAAACATACAACAACAAAAAGCACTGTGATAAAAACAGGCACAGCTAAACAACAATGGAAAATGAAGCGAATTGATTAAAATCAACACACAAATGTCTGGAAAACACATTGAAACATATATTAAATGGTTACAAAATTAGTTTTGCTTTAATTTTTATCAAATGGGAAAGTAAGAGTTAAATTGTGTTCCAATTACAGCACGAAAGGTCCAAGAGCCAGACAAAGGGTCTCCAATTAGAATCAAGTCTAGTGTTGTTAAATGTCTTCGTGCCTGCTCACGATCTCACATGCACATCTCTAGTATTGGCGACGGGGCATCGTTGATCGTCAAATGCGATTGACCGACCTACGGACCCGAACACGTGTTACACGTTCCCCCCACTCACACACGCACACACACACACACGCACACACGCAACAGCCTTAATATAAACACAATGGGCGTGTGTGTGTGTGTGTGTGTGTGTAAATCCATTGGAATTGATAGAAGTGAGCAAATCAACAATAAAAACTCGACGCTCGCCATCGACCACTAAAAATAAATGAAGAGAAAAAAAAAAAAAGAAAACAACAATAGCTAGTCAAGAAGAAGAATGTATGTATTAGGAAATAGTGCAAGTCATCGGCAATCATCAAAATTTTATAAAAAACCGGCCGCAATTTGGCAGCCGGCGGCAGGCGACACCTCAGCCTCGGTCTCGGCCTCGTCCACGGCCATTTGATAAGACGGACGGTCGAGCACTTTGCACTTTGCTTTGACTGCCACCCACAAGACAGCCCGACAATCCACAGTCCACAAATACCACGACCCGCCTGATAAGCAACCGGAGGCGGCGGTCTATGAAATTTGGAACGGTTTGCCCTTTTGATCGGCTGCAGTGCATCCGCATCCGGGCAAAGCAATTAAGGCCAACCGGTTGCAAAGTCGAAGATGCCGCACTCCAATATTGATTAAGTGCTTCGCTAATGATGCATCGGATTAGATATATACTATATATATATATATATATATATATATATATGCATAGATAGATATACACGTGGACCTACCTCATTATGCTGTCGTTCTTCCAGCCAAATCGTTTTTTCAATTTCCGCTACACGCGACAATTAAATTGCAATCAAAACCGACTCGTGTCCCATTTTAATGGGAATTACGACTGCGCTTGTAAAGTGGGTAAAATCTGTTGCAATAGTTGTTCACAAATGTGTTTTAGACTTTGCATTTGCTACAATTACAGCTAAAGCCCTTATCAACACTGGTCTTTAAAGTGAAGTGTACTAGATAGAGCAAATTATTGGCACGATGTGTTATAGATATTCTTACTCCTATTAATATGTTTTAGACTTTGCATTTGCTACAATTACAGCTGAAAACCTTATCAACACTGGTCTTTAATTGCTACAATCTTTAATCTTTGCCACAATTACAGCTAAAAACCTTATCAACACTGGTCTTTAAAGTGAAGTGTACTAGATAGAGCAAATTATTGGCACGATGTGTTATAGATATTCAATTTTTTTCTTACTCCTATTAATATGTTTTAGACTTTGCATTTGCTACAATTGCAGCTAAAGCCCTTATCAACACTGGTCTTTAATTGCTACAATCTTTAATCTTTGCCACAATTGCATCCCTTATCAACACTGTTCTTTAAAGCAAAGTGTTCTAGAAAGAGCAAATTATTGGCACGAAGTGTTATAGATATAGCCCCTTAAAAGACTAGGCTATTTAGGATCTATATACTCAACACTTTTCCCTACTTCTATTAAACTGGTTCCGAACCCGTTCTCAGCTAAAACCCACATGCAAGTTGATTTATCAGTACTTTTGAGCTGGTTCAAAGGTGCTTTCAAAATATTTAATACTAATTTGGTGATATCTGGCGTTTAAACTTAAACATTCAGGTTATTGATAAGCTGTGCAGAGAACATCAATCAAGTCTGTGAAAAAGTTCAAAATTCGTTCATGGTTCAGACTTCCGCATTTCGATGTTTAACTGATAAAGAGTGTAAAAAAAATTTGGGGTAAGGTAAGCTACGATAATGAGAACCTTCGATGTGAGAAGCTTGTATTTTTCGAGTTGTGACTATAAAAAGAGCCTGTTTATGATAGAAGAGAATTTTAAATTCAAATTTTTAGGCAATATCCCCTGGGTTTTCCGGTCTGACACGTTCATACAGAGTATTTTGGAGCAGGACGACGCGAGCCGAGTTGACTATCGATCTATCGATCAAAAATCGATACATATCGACTTCGTGTAAACGGCGTGTTATCAATTATTTTAGAAAAACTTGAACTGCGCGATCAGAGGATTTAAGTTCGAGTTCAAGTTGAACAGACGCCAAGAGAAGCACAAACTAAATTATGAAAAATCGATACTTATCGATTATTGATCGATTGATCGACTCGATCGATCACTTTACTTTGTTCTGGGCATTAAAACAAGAATTTTCTTTTGTATTTACCAATTTTGAATGGAGAATTTAACGAATACGATTTTGAATAAAAAAAAACAAACGAGCGAAAGAGGTAACCAAAAACTGAAAAAAAAAACTCTCTTGATCAGGTGCAACTGTACCATACTTCAGAGAAAAATCGATGCTGCGATATTTGCGCGGCGTTCCATCTCTTTTCGGGCTGGGGTTTCAGCATATGGGCAAGTAGATCGCAGAAATTGAACCATTCCCTGAACGAATCGATGTTCCGCCCGCACGGATCCCATTGAATTTCCTTGGTGCCGACAATATCGAAGAGCTGCCTGCCCGGCGGACAGTCGCAGGCCAGGCCGAAGTCGGCGATCTTCGCATCGGTGACCCACAGGGGCGCCCGCTTCTCCACACGGACGTGCACATTGTCGAGCTTGAGATCCCTGTGCACAATGTCCATGCTCTGTATATAGACGAGGCCATGGACTATGTTGCGCATGATGTGCGTGACCTGCGGCTCGGTCAGCGGGCGCATGGACTTCTCCACGGCCTCCACTATAATGCAGATTGATGATCGCGGGATGTCCCTTGCAGCTTGCGCAGAACGCGGCACTCGTTCAATTCCCAGCGATCCGGACTCTCCAGCTCCATGACCTTCAGAGCACCATGCGCTGCTCCGATGTGGCATGCCGCAGCCCGAGTGTCCACTGGGCAGGGGCAGACGGTGCAATGGAGTCGATTGTAGCTGCGCCCGCTCAGCGCCTCCGGCTGCAGCAGTTGATACGCCTCGCGGCATTTACCAACACTGGCCGCCATCTTGCTGCAAAAAGAGAACTCCATATAAACTATGCTATATATTTATTCTGTCTATTTATGGTTTACCCGTTTTGTCAGCTGTACTTGCGTTTTTTTGGCACACTTTTTGAATGCTTGCGACTTTTTGCTGTTGCTTTGTTGTCCGACCTGTTGCTGAGACTCTTGAGACTATGCCAGGCTCTGCTGTTTGCCTGGTAATATGCTATGTGACTAGGTTTTTCGAACAAATATTCCTACATAATTTCAAAACAAGAAGAAGGGTCCGACTAGCAGATACCCTAAGCCCAGCAGCCAGCTGCCATTGCAAACATTCTTTGCTTACACACATACATATACATATATATACACACACACACACACAAGCGTCTTTGCCCCATTGGGAACTGTATTCTTATTTGACTTCGGCGCTTGGAGTCCGATTACTATGCAATTTTGATAGCTTAACATTGGCATAAAAAAGCGCGTGCATACCTGAGCGTTAGGCTCTGCCTAAAAGAATTCGTTTTTTACAATTTATGGGAGAATTATTTATCTAGATATGCCAAACGAGAAGCTAAATTCCGCTTTAAATATAACTAGCTGCTATATTACTCGAGTTATGCCTAAAACGTAGTCGTAACGTAGTCTGACAATCGATTTTTATCGATATTTATCGAAAGTGTGTGCAGATATCGAAATAAAGGAATTTTAAACTATTTCAAATTTCAATTTATGCGACATTTGATCTAAACAAACAATTCATATAATTGGTTTATTTGCAGGAAATCGGGCTATGAGGATAAAATTCAGTATACCATATCGGAGAAGAAGGACAAAAAGAAGAGCAAGGCGCACGTGAATTCAGTATTCTTTAAACAGCTGCGACAGCTGCTGCGTAAGTAAACCCGATATCAATCTACCTATATATGTATATATAGAGTATAGATTCGTCTGCTAACTGTATATATATATATATATATATATATATGTATGTATTCGGTGTGCCAACAGCCATACTCATACCCAGATTCTGGTGCATCGAGACGGGCCTCCTGCTGCTGATCGCCGGCTCGCTGATCGGCCGATCCGTGAGCGACATTTGGATGATACAGAATGCGACCGTTGTGGAGAGCACCATAATACATATGAACCGGGCCAAGTTCAAGACGGCTCTGCTTAAATATCTCGCTGCTCTGCCGGCTGTAAGTTCTAGCCTCCCGGTGGCCGTCTGTTAGACAGGTGTGTGTTAATCAGGTGTTGCCTTTATAGATTTCGGTGGTCACCAATGTGCTCAAATGGAGTCTGGGCGAGCTGAAGCTGCGTTTCCGCACAAACCTAACGCATCATCTGTACAGTCAGTACCTCAAGTGAGTAGACGCCAGCAAATAAATCAAATACCCATTACCTGTATACATAAAATACCTGTTTCATTAAACGCCGCCCATGGCAAATGCAATAAATGGTTTCCAATCGAATCGTTTTCATTATCATATTATCAAGGCTGACTCTCGAGAGGAGAGTGCTTGACTGGGACATATGTATATACACGTACATACATATTCCCGACTAACTAATCTCTGTATGATTCTTATTGTATTCAGCTTTTTAAACACACAATTTCAAATATACTTTCGCATGCCTCATCAAGTAATTGCACTAATGATTCAACAGTTCAATCCTACTATAAATATTCTATTCTATTCGAGCTTAATACAAATATATAGATTTAAAAGAACGCAAACCTATTTAAGCGTTAATAATATAAAGTTTTGCTCATAAGAACCAAAACCGGTTCAAACCCAATTCTTTATTTTTTATCATGAACCAACGTTTTGTTCATAAGAAAAGCGATTCAAAATATTTTTCCAAAAATAAATGCATTAATCAAGACTGCAAACTGGGTTTGAACCAAAACCCAGTTCGAACCCAACATTTCTTTACTATTAATCGAACCAAATGCTCGTCAAAAATGTTTTGGTTTAAATGATGAAATACTTTTCACTTTTAGAGGAGAAATACATTAGGCCCCAATCATTGGACTTATCAAAGCATATTCGGTAAATGCCAACTTTGGGTGCATAACAAATCTAGCCCGCAATTTCTCTATGAAAATATATTTAGAGCTTCCAATATTTTCAGTAGAACGGGCAGTTAAAAATATAAAATGTTGCGTATAGCATATGAGGAGCTAGCCAACATTTGAACCACAATCAAGGTTAAGGAATTTAAAAAAACAGGTTCGAGAACCTATTGAAATGAAAGGCAAGTAGTTGGTTCGAACCAGTGACTTCACTATTGGGTTTGCAGCCCCAATTGTTATATAATGCATATTATATGTATTGAAATACGCAGACATATTTGTGTTCCAGGCCCAACAAATCCAACGAAAACAATAAAATCAAAGGCATGAAGTTGGTTTGAACCAGCGACTTCACTTTTGGGTCCTAATTGTTATATAATGCATATTATATGTATTGGAATACGTAAGTTCTTTGTGATAACTGCTTTCTAGGCCCATGAAATTCAACAAAAACAATGAAATGAAAGTCATGAAGTTGGTTTGAACCAGCGACTTCACTTTTGTTTGTTTGCAGCCCCAATTGTTAGATAATGCATATTATAGCTAATAGAATACGCAAGTTCTCTGGCATATCTGCTTTCTAGAACCAGGAAATTTATGAAATACAACAAAAATCGACATGTTAAACATTTGTGAAAATAGTTTTTGCTCTTTTTGTGTTCTTCCAGTGGCTACACGTACTACAAAATGTCGAATCTGGATAACCGAATAGCGAACGCGGACCAGCTGCTGACCACGGACATTGACAAGTTCTGCGAGAGCGCAACGGATCTGTATTCGAACATTAGCAAGCCGGTGCTGGACATATTCATCTATGTGTACAGGCTGACCGTGAATCTGGGCGGAAAGACACCGTCCATATTGATGCTCTATCTGCTGTTTGCGGGCGTTTTTCTGACACGACTGCGTCGCCCAACCGGCCGCCTGACCGTCGAGGAGCAGAAGCTGGAGGGCGAGTTCCGCTATGTGAACAGCAGGCTGATCACAAACTCCGAGGAGGTCGCCTTCTACCAGGGCAACGTGCGCGAGAAGCTAACACTGCTCGCCAGCTACTCCAAGCTGCGATCCCATCTGCGCAAGTTCCTCGAGTTCCGTGTCAGCATGGGCATCATCGACAACATCGTCGGCAAATGTGAGTGTGTGCCATCGATAAAAGTCCTTGATTGACGGACACACTGAGAGACTGGGAGACTGGGAGACTGAGACTTATCTAGAATATATATATACTTTATGGGATCGGAGATGTCTCCCTTCCGCATTGCATCAGCCATTTATGATACCCTCTGCTCAAAATCTATAACGCATCGGAGACAGTCTTCGACCTGGCAGTATATATATATATATATATATATTCATAATCAGTATAAACAGCCGGAGTCGACATCTTTGAACCCATATTGTATATATACACATATATATTCACGATCAGGCCAACAAACCCGAGGCGCCCGCCCGTCTGTCTGCTTTTGTATCTTGATAACTTGTTGCCCGTCGCAGTATATCACATAAATGTAAAATGTTTAAAAAACATGAATATATCCTAATAATAATAAATAATAATGATAGCTTCCATAGAAATAGTTCCCTGACGAAAGTGTGTATTTGATCTTCGGCGTGCCACAGATAGCTTTTGTTACTTGTTGCAGTTGTTGTCCATAAACGATATTTATGCCAAAATTGAATTGATTCTCTTTGCAGACTTTGCCTCGATTGTGGGCTTCTATGCGGTGTCGCTGCCCTTCTTCTCCGAGAACCATCCGCTGCTGTCCGGCGAGAACAGCGGCCAGCGTCTGCAGGCCTATTACACGTACGGACGGATGCTGGTCAAGCTGGCGGAGGCCATTGGCCGCCTGGTGCTGGCCGGACGCGAGATGTCCCGGCTGGCCGGCTTCACGGCCCGCATGACCGAGCTGATCAAGGTGCTGAGCGATCTCAACAAGGGCACCTACGAACGGACCATGGTCAATGGCAACAGCATCACCCAGAATGGCGGCACCGATGCGAGCGCCGGCAGCTTTGGCCCCAACAAGGGCGTCATGTGCTTCGAGGATAATATCATTCGGTTCGAGCAGGTGCCTCTGGTAACGCCCAATGGCGATGTGCTGCTCAAGGAGCTGACCTTTGAAGTCAAGTGAGTTTCTGTGTCGCGCCTCTGATCCGCAACTCATCTTTTGCTTATTTGATTATTGTTTCGCAGATCTGGCACCAATGTCCTGGTCTGTGGCCCCAATGGCTGCGGCAAGTCCTCGCTCTTCCGCATTCTCGGCGAGCTGTGGCCCACGTGGGGCGGCAAGGTGACAAAGCCATCGCGTGGCAAGCTCTTCTACATTCCCCAGCGCCCCTATATGACATTGGGCAGCTTGCGTGATCAGGTAACAGCTCAAAGCTAACATTTCATCAATTTATCATTTGCATTTTCTCAAGTTCCTTAAATGACTTTGGTTATTCTAGTCGAAAAGCTTTCAAACAAAACAACACTTAACTCTCCTCTCTTGCTCTCGCTCCTTTACCCATTGTTGTTTCACTTTTCTGCAAAGCTCATTAAAGCTTTATACATTTATTTATTGTTCCCTCCGGAACGATGTTCATATTTTAACAAATGCTCCAGTTTTATGTTAAATACCATAATTTGTTTAAAAGCACATGAAAGCTTTAAGTCAGATTTCTTGTATTCTTCATTTCTATGCCATTCTTAAATATTGCCTTGTTTGTTTGAAAGCACATGAAAGCTTTAGGACAGCTCTGTCACTTCTCTCTCTCTCTCCGTCTCTCTCTTTTGTCATGTGACTTCTATTGCTTAAAAGCTTATTAAAGCTCTTTCAGTCTTCGTCTAATTTAATTCTTTATCCGCTCTTGTTCTCTTTCAAATTACATAAATGCAAAAGGCATCTATCCTTTTTTCTCTGTTTAATTGAAGGCACATTAAACCATATAAAATGTACTCTAGTTTATTCTCTCTTTCGCTCTAACCTGTGCTATTTGTCCGTAAGGCATCTATTGCTATTCCCTTCCATTTACTTGATTGCTCGATTAATCGAAAGCCCGCCGGAGCTTTAAGCTTTCATTGCTGTGATTCCGTGCTTAAGTGTCATGCACCTGCTATCTCGCTCACTCTTGATTATTATGCGTATTAAAACATTTGCTTTCTCGCTCTGCAGATCATTTATCCGCACACGCGCGACGATATGCGCCGCCTGGGCAAATCGGACGAGGATCTGTTGCACTTCCTGGACATTGTCCAGCTGACATATCTGGAGCAGCGCGAGAATGGACTCGATGCGATCGAGGACTGGATCGATGTGCTGTCCGGCGGCGAGAAGCAGCGCATCGCCATGGCCCGTCTCTTCTATCACAAGCCGCAGTTCGCCATTCTGGACGAGTGCACCAGTGCCGTCTCCGTGGATGTCGAGGGCAAGATGTACAGCTATTGCCGCGAGGTGGGCATCACTCTGTTCACCGTATCGCATCGGAAATCGCTTTGGGTCCATCACGATTACTATCTGCAATTCGATGGCCGTGGCAGCTATGAATTCGAGCCCATCGACCAGGACAAGGAGCACTTCGGCTCGTAAGAGCCGCAGTCGCCACATGGGGCACACACAGACACTACACACTTTGGATGCCTACACTTTTATACCTAATCGAAATCAACACAGTCCAAGTTCAAGTTTGCCCATTTTGTTGTTGTTAAAGCTCCTGCTTCACTTGCGACTCCATTCCCTCGTAAAGGCTTCCAATCCCCGAGCTGTACATACTGCTCTATATACACTCATACATATATATATCTGATTATATATATCTTTTAGTTTCGTGACTTTCTTTTTTTTGGATTTTCTCTGTTTTTAATCTTCAGCCGGACTTTTGTAATTTTGTTCTTCTTCTGCTGCGCGCTTTCCACACAATAAGATTTTCATCTCAAGTCGTTTTCCTTAACTATCCTGTTCGAGTAAAGCAGCTGGTGTTAGTTATTTAAGAGCCTAAGGTCGATTTATCAAATTCACTATTTAGCCAACATTTAGTAAATTTACACACACACACACACACACGCGCAACTCCCATGTATATGCACTTGTAATATTGTAATTTATATATTTAATATATTATTTTTGTTCCCACCACCCCAAATACATTTCTCTTCGGTTAAGTTGGAATTTGTAATACAATGTTTTCGTTTTTTTTTTTTTTTCATTCGCACTTCAGCAACAATCAATTGCATTGTATTGTTAATGCTTGCATTAAAATGTATATACAACCAAATTAAAAAAATAAACAGATGCGATTTTTTATTCGAACACAGAACGGGGCCAGAGGCTTTGGCTTCCACGTGAATTTTAAACACACTATAGTACAATAAATCTGCAATGACACAATACAGTGGTCCCTCGCACAGGCGTTTCTAGTTGGCAAGCATGTGCATTACTTAAGGCATATTTTTCTATATAAAAAGTATAATTAATAAATATATATATATACATATATTAAAAAAATTGTATGGCTTTTATTGTAATGCAAAACGGAAAACAATAAATACAACTTTTAAATGCGAAGCGTCGAATGTATATGAAAATATTAATTCTAATTTCTAGACTTTTCAAATCTCTGCAGGATATACGAGCGACCACTGTACTAACTAAGAATCCGAGCTTAATAGATTTTTAATATACAAACGGAACCTCGTTTAGGTGTTAGTTATAGCTGTTTCTTCTAGTATTTCCAGCTGTCTAAAAATCCGATCAAAACTCAGCTAGAACCTTGTTTATATATAATACTTCTTGTCGCTTAAGTGGCAAAACTTTTTTACAACTTTTTAATTTTTAAACGTATTGTCGGCAATAAAATGAGTAATTGTTAATTTGTATGCCAGCGCAATAACAAAATGTTTGACTGGCTTTTCAGGTGTGTAAGTAAGTAAAAAGTATCACAAACGGAAAACCACATTGATAAAAGTTAACAATCTTTCGATCGAATTTGTTTGCCGTAGGCTCAGTCATGCGATTTAGTATAATTTATTATAGTTACTAATGGAAAAACAAAATCTAGATGTATAATTAAAATTGTAAGATTGTTATTGTGTTGTATTACGGGCCTTTAACTTTCTAAACACACAACTAGGTCAATATTGTAGAAATAAATAAATGATATTTAAACAATGAATTATGCTTTGCGTTTGGGCTTTTTGCTCTCCATTAGGCTCAAGATTGTCTTGCGCAGATCTTCGGTTTCTTTTTGCTCCATTTCAAGGTTCTCGATTTGCTCTTTCTTTTCCTGCAGCTGCGTCTCCAGCACGCTAACCAAATCCTCGGATTTTTTGCGCGCCTCACGCTGCTCCTCGAGCGCTTTATGCGTTTTGGCCAGCTCTGTGGTGCGCTCCTCAATGGTGCGCAGCTTCTCCTTGATGTCCTGCTCATAGGCAGTCACCGATTTCTTGAGCTTCTCGATGCGTGTGCACTGCAAACAGAGATCGGGGGTTAGTAAATGATCTTTAAGAGGGGTCGACTATAGTTGCTTTTGCTTACATTATCTTTGCTAAGCGCCTCAAGTTTGGACAGCTCCTCACTCTTCGCACTGAGATTGCCCCGCAGCTCCTCGCAATCTCTTTGCAGGCCCGCTATTTCCGACTGCTTGACCGAGAGTCGGCGCTCGCTGGCCTGCAGCTGCTCGGAAGTTTCCGACCAACGTTTGAGCAGATCGCTAAGATTTGTCTTCAGTTGTCCCGCCTGCGCCTTTAGATCCTTGCACTGCGTCTGCAGGCTGTGTTGTGCAAATATAGAAAAGGATTAGCTGCAGCTTCCAGCTGTTGCTCTTGCGAGTACCTACCGCTCCTGGCTGATGAGCAGCTCAAAGTTTTTGGTCTGAAAGCGTTCCAGCTCCGCGTTTTGCACATTGGTCAGCTGGGTGCTGTGGCACAGCTGAACGCTGGCCTGCTCCAGGCGCTGCTGCATGTTTTGTGTGGCACAGTTGAGGCTATCGATGCGATGGTTATACAATTCAATCACCTGCGACACGGGCGCCGAGTGCAGCTCATTGCGACGCATTGTATCCCCGATGCTCTCGATTAGCGCATTCACGCGCTGCGACAGCTCCTTGTCAATAAAGGTGCGATGGCTCTTCAGAATTGCGCTCAAATTGCGCCACTGCTCCGCCTGCTCAGGGCTGGGATTCGCCTGTCTATTATTGCTGCCAATGCTGGAGACAAACTGAAAGCAGCAAGCAGAAGGTTAGTGGCATGTGGAACTCTGCACAGAAGCAGATTTTACCTTGGCTACAGCTGCCTTGGGAAAGTGCTCGAATTGTGCTATTTGCAGCATGGCGGACACCAGCTGCTCATTGCCGCTGAGCATGGCGCGTGCCAGCGCATATTGCAGCTGCGGCAGCTCGAGCAGTGCACAACACTTGTCCCAATAGGCCTTCTTGGCAATGCTGGCGAAATTGATGAGCAGCAGCAGGCAGTAGATGGCCTTCTCCACCTCCGACTGGGCGAGCGTCTGTGTGCTAAGCATTTGCGGCAGCAAGCTCAAGGGGGCTGCCAGAATCTTATCGAAATAGGACTCGGATATTTTGGACAGCACCAGTTTCTCCGTCTTGGACTCGCGCAGCAGCGTTAGCAGCAGCCGCAGAATGGCCGTGACAAGGGCGGGCTTTGTATCGCTGCGCTCGGCGCTGTTCACCAGCTTCACCACATTGGCGGGCTCGCGTGCTATGAGCTGCGAGACGGCGCCACGCTTGCCCAGCCGCAGCAGCGAGCCGAGCAGCTCAATGGCCGCCACGCCGCACAGCTCGGACTCGAGCCAGTCGCAGATCAGCTCGTATAGGCGCGCTGTTATGGCATCCAGGCTGATCACACTATTGTTCTCGGACAGCTGCAGCACATGGCGAATCAGGCAAAAGATCAGCTCCATGCAGCACTGCTGCTGCTTGCGCGTGTCCTCATTGGAGGAGTCGTCCATGTGGCGTCGCGCCTCTATTTGCTGCAAATGACAAGATATGCAATTAGTTGTCAGCATAAATACGCGAACGGGCACAGACTCACATTCAACAGCCGCTCAATGTCCTCGCAGTAGTGGGCATAGCTGAGCATGGCCCGCTGCAGGCCCGCATGGCACTGGGCGTCCAGCAGGAAGTCCACAATGTGTCGCAGCTGGGGCACATGCCACTGCTTCAGGCAGTCCTCCATGCCGGCAAAGGCGGTGCGCAGAAATGTGTGCAATTCGCGCTGTTCGAAGGCGTGCACATCCTCGGATAGGATGATGAGCATCTTGTAGGCCAGCAGGCCGTAGTTCTGTATGCGCCGGCTGAAGCTGGATATGTTGACGCTGCGCAGAAAGAGAAAGAGCACCACGAAGTTCTTGTAGCACAGATTGACCAGTATGGAGAGCGCCAGCTGTGCCTGTGTGTTGTCCACGTCTGTGGCATTCGGATCGCAGTCCTCCACACTGTGCACCAGATCGACCAGATGCTCCAGCAGCACCACCAGATACGGCTCCTCCCAGCCAATCCGTATGCCGTATGTCAGATCCTGCAGCAGCAGCAACAGCCGCTGCACACGCTCCGGCCGAAGCGTCCGCTTCAGCAGGTAGCTCAGCAGCGGCACAAAGCAATATTTTTGCACAATGGCGCTGCGCGCCTCCAGATTGCGACTGCAGTGCTGCAGCAGCGTGACACAGCTCCACAGGGCATCGCTGTCGCCGTCCAGGGCGCTCATCAGCGCATGCAGATCCACAAAGAACTTGGCCAGCTCCAGATTCCCAGGCGCGGGCGCATAGCAATGCGGCGGCACTTTTGTGCCCAGCAGCGCAATGCTCCGCAGCAGATGCACCAGCGACTCCTCCGTCTTGAGCTGATGATAAGCCGCCGCCTGGCTGCTAAATTCCCGCACATAGCCAATGGCCTGCGCAAGCGCCGCGTCCTGCGGCGGCAGCGCAGCCTGCAACGGCGAGTCGCCATTCTGGTTGTTGTTGCTGTTGTTGTTGTTGGTGCTGTTGCTATTCGTGTGGCCAGCGCTGTGACTTCGAATCGTAGTCATGGTCGCGAATTCACTGACACTTTTTATTTATTTTTATTAACTGCACCTTTCGATTTTTGTTGGCAGCAGAGCAGTTTTTTTTCGAACGTTGTTGTCGCTTGGCGCTAGCTTTGTATCGATAGAGCTGCGCAGCGGAACTGGTTCAAATGAGCAGAACCTTGGGCTTACAATTTTGAGCGTGTTGTTCGATTTTAGTATTTTTAACTGTAATTTAGCCGCCTAGCTTAAAAAGTATAAGTATATTTAAGCAATTCTAGCAAATATATTTGAATTGTTATTTAATTTTAAAACCATTTATTTAAAGCAACGAAGTCACTAAACTGATCAAGTTACAGTATTATTAAGTATTAATTAATTTGGTATTTTAGTTATATACATATATTTTTTTTGTGTCAAGACTGTGCAGTTCTCAACACAATATTGTACTTTTACTTTCATGGAACTGCGGAGTAGAAATAAATTAAATGCGATGCATTTTATAAGCAAGCCTTTTTGGTTCATGAGCTAAACTAACTCTTGTAATCGAACTAGTTATACGCATTAAGAGGTGACACACGGTTGGCAACGCCTGCCACAAACTTTAGGTTGGCAAGGCTGCTTCTGCGTTGACAAATGGCGGCACATTTAAATGCTATTATATTTTTATGCATCCCTTTTTACGATCAAAAGCAAATTGGCCGACTGCTAAACGATTAATTAACAAACTTGTGTGCTCATAGTGTATTCGCATATGTATTTAAATGCACATATTTTTGCATATAAAACAAACACATGTCATTTCCGACATACATATGTATCCTTTGGGCCGTGTTTAGTTGTTGTAGTAGAAATTGCCGTTATTTATTGCGTTTTCTTAAGTCTGCTAGCCAAAAACTTAAAGTCAACCCTATTTAATTTTAAATCAAATCAGCTACACACACACACTCACACGCACACACACATGCGTGCTTTACATTTCAAATAGCGTATACAGTTTTTATTTTTTATATATTTTGGATAAAAGCCCATGCAAAATCAAAACGCAATTCGTTGCCGGACAGCTTAGCCGCAGGCTGTGCCATAGGTGAAGGGTGCGGGGGCGTTGAGGGTGCATGTGGCACGGGAGTACGTCACGGGCACATGTGCGCGCTGTCGCATGTACAGTGAAAGCACCCATAGGCGTACGCACACGCTCCAAGGAAATACAGTACGGACTCGCATCAACGCAACCCATTGAAATCGCATCCTTAACATATTTTAACTATAAGTATAAACAAATACTGTTATTAATCATGAGATATAAGCACAATAAAGCGAAAAGTTTAACAGTTTCGTTTGTCAGAGCTTTTACTGTACTTGTCTCAGCCTGCTGCCGCCTACCCCCTTCACACACACGCACACATCAGTCCCCTGCCCGCTAGCTCCAACAAGCCTCACTCCAAGTCCCCCCCTCCCACTTCACAAAAATTACGCATGCTTTGCAGTAGACGTTCCTTATGTTCTTGTAGTGGCCGCTCTTCGGTGGGCGTCACCGTGTGTGTGTGG